AGTGCGATCTGTCCACCAGTTTGTCTACAGCAGCTGCTTAAGTGGGTATACCTCAGTAGTGCGTTGCGGTTTTTACAATGGATAATAATATGGAGCAAAGAATTTGTCTAAAATTTTGTATCTTAAACCAAATTTCGTGCCCGGAATCGTTGCGGATATAGGGAAAGGCATACGGCGCGTCAGTTTTATCAACAATACAAGCCTACGCGTGATACAAAGCCTTCAAAGACGGTCGAGAAATCGTTGAAGATATGCCTCGTTCTGTACGATCTTCGACCTCTTCAACTGATGGAAATATTAAAAATCTGAAGATATGGTGCTTGAAAATCGTCAGGCAAGTGTTAGATAGATACCAGGAGAGCTCGCGAGTCCGTTCGAATGATTTTTGGTGGATGTTTTGGGTATGAAAAGCGTGCTTGTTCGACGTCCCGATAAAGGTGAATTTTTTTTCCAAAAGAGTACCGTAAATATATCTTTTTAGACATGCTTCATCCTGCGAATTCCAATCCCACAATGGAGCTTTATAACTGGAAAATGGAGCGCATTATAACTGCTGCTGAGACATAAGTTTATGGGTTTGTCATACAAACAAGTCAACAATCATCGAAATGGAACCCGTTTTTTTGTCGATCGAAGAGATAAAGCAAAATATAAATATTATATAATGATTTTATAAATATTATTAGCTCTAAGTTTGTTGATTCTCTTACTTCAGCATATTATTAGTTACTTATCACTTGTTGGGCTGCCGAACAAAAAAAAAAATCTGAAGTCAATAAATTTTGCATCTATAAGAACCTATAAGCCCTTGTCACCGAACTAATTTTTCAGGTTTAGAGCTTCATCACCCCACAACGACGCTGCCAGTGATAGCAACTGGCAAAATTTCAGCCGAATGGGCCACTCCCAAGGCCTTCTAAAAACCGCAACCGCGAAAGATAACATGACAAGACTGCATAAAATATTGACAGGGGCATATTCGGGGTATTGGTTTAGGGTGGTGAACTGCGTAGAGTTATCCCCACAAAATTCAAAATTATGCATTATATCCATCATAAGAGACATTCTTCGAAGAAAAGTACTTTGAGTTGGAAGTAAAAAATTTTATAGTTTCCTCTCAAAATTCTTCTCTGTATCCGCCCCTGAATATTTAACATGAACAAGCTATCGGCGTGATGAGTACTGAGTTTGTTCACTCCGGCTAAGAAGCGCAAACGTGTGACCACTTCACAGCAATGTTTAAGCGTAAATTGTATAAGTTTTTGCGCCTTTTCGTGACCCTCGACGAAACATAGATCCACTGGTAAACACTAGAGAGCAAGGATCTGTTCTGATCACAGCCGACTGCTGCTTTCTGTGAGCACTCACAAGCATGCCCAATGATTGGAAGCTAAATGTGCCAAATCCACAAAAAGGAGAGTCCCACAATCTGCGCCAAAGCTTCCTTAATATCGCATATAAGGTCTTATCCAACGTAGTGTGTATAAGATTAAAGCCCACCGTCAACAAACTGATTGAACCTTATCAGTGTGGCTTTAGACCTGGAAAATCTACTATCGATCGATGGAAAGTAGGCATACACCACCTATTCGTCGATTTTAAAGCCGCCTTCGACAGCACGAAAATGAAATGCCTCTATATCGCCATGTCTGAACTTGGAATCCCCTAAAAGCTAATACGGCTGTGTAAGATGACGTTGAGCAACATCAACATCAAAAGTTCTGGATCGGTTAGGATCTCTATGAGCCGTTCGATACCAAGCGTTGTCCAATGTTTCTGATAAGAAGACTCCCAATTTTGTGTCGTCGAATTGACAAACAGCTGTTGCTCTTGCGACTTGGCTCGCATGTCACGTTGACAGTCATAAACTTGACGAATATTTCGCCTATTTTGGAACCAGTATCAATGCCAACAACAATAACAACTTTGAAATCCAACGCAGAATCATTGCTACTTTGGACTGAGTAGGCAATAAAAAGTAAAGTCCTCTCTAGACGACAAAACTCTACAAGTTTCTCATCCTTCTTCTTTTTGCCATATTTTGTTGGAGACATGGTAAATGAAAACATCTGGCAACTTCGAATACCCCAGTCGGCGGAACGATGAGCTTTACGAGATACACGACGGCATTGACATAGTTCAGCGAATCAAGGGACACCGATTGCACTGCTTAGGTCATGTTGTCCGGATGAAATAGAACATTCTTGCTTTGAAGGTTTTTGATTCAGTACCCTTCGGTGGAAGAAGAGGAATAGGAAGACCTCCACTCCACACTGGAGTGCTGTTGTTAACTCAACTATAAAAGTGTAAGCGGAGTCTACGTCAGCAAAGAATAAGAAGAAACCTATACATATTTATTTTTATGTTGTAACACCTGAACTAATTTCGTTTGATAATTCAATGAACACTTTACGAAGGAAATTGTGACAAATGACAAAAGAGATGTAATCTATATCGGTATAAAGAGCTTCCGAACCAATGTGTGCATATTTGTATCAGTACACTTGCAATCATACATTATGAGGAATACATTGCGTTGTGGACATATACGCGACAAAGCGGTACCCTAAGGACATTAGTTGTAAAAGGGTTTCGAAATCTTCCGGCGGTATTTCCAGTGCTTGCCGACTGTCGAAACATATATATATATATAGCTAAATGTTGGTATTATATATGTATAATATGAGTATGTGGACATCACCTACATCCAACTCGCTAAAAAAGGACCACTCTCCACTCCTCCTCACTCTGCCTTAGCTTGCCGACATTCGTCATTGCGAAGCCTTTCATTCATTTAACATTTCATCTTCACATATATACATATGTATGGCTGTGTATTTGAACCGTTTCGTGTGTTTTCGCCGTCAAGTGTTTACCGTGTAAATATCCCCGTGCGCGACTCGGAGGTTACCCTTCTGTCATTGTTGCTGAGGTTGACAAATGTGTCAGAATGGAAGTCCGCAACAATTAAAATTAACAACTACAACAGAGACGAACAGGGAGAGAGAAAAACCAATAACAATAGCAACAATGCAACAGTATTAACTATGCAATATGTAAACAAGAAGAAATACAAGAATTGTAGATTCTTGCAGGAAGAAGAAACAAAACTGCAAGAGCCATTGAAACTGGCGCATTGATGTGTGTTTGTGTTTGTTTAGCAGGGCTTTCCTTGGTAAAATATTTTTAATAACTCTTCAGCATGTTTTCTTATTTAATATGCCAGCGCCCTGTTGGAAATTTGAGTATTTTAAGTAAGTGGCATCATAATAAGCTGTGAAAAATAACAGAAGACTTATTTTTGGAATTATGTGAGAAAGGTTATAACGGTAACGGAGATCATATCTCTTACTGATTATGGAAATGGATGCTGGAGGTGAGTACTCCTGACCGAACTTTTAACCTGCTTAAGAAAGTGCCCAGGCTTATTCAGTTCGAACTTCGTAAACTTCGATTCTATAACGGCATTTTGTAAAAAAAAAGTACCTGGATTAAACCACCTAGAATCTACATCCAAATAATCATTGCAATAATTCACCCAAAGTCTAGATGGTAGCAAATGAGGAAAGAGCAGAGATTAGTGCAAATTTTTTCTACAGGGTACCACTTCTAGGTAAGTATATATCACATTGTAAGTATAGTATGCAAGGTGCTTGAGCTTTTGCCTTGGGTATATTGTCACAGTTGTTTTCCTTTTGTGCTTTAGCTTAATTTGCGCTGTTTGTGGGTGTGATGTAAGCGGAACCAACAGTATTGCCGCGAGACACACTTTCGGCCTCTCATTGCTTGCCACTTTAGAATGCGTGTTTTTGGGTTATATTTTAATTGGCTACGAATATGAAGATTTGTAAGCACTTTGTATGTCGAAGAATTTTTAATCATTATTAAAAGTAACGGCATTTTGTGGGGTAAGCGCGAAATCAAGCTGAGGCAGTAATATTAAAGATCTTGAGTTAGGCGGTAAAATGGAGATACTCCTAGCTTTGCTAAGGATTCATTTTTTATGTTAGATTAGGTGAATTTGGTAGATCTTCTATATAGGATATTGCTGAAGCTAATAACCTCACTGAACACAAAGGTCTTCAGCTCGCCGGATCTGTGGCGCTACTATTATTTTTAATAGATATAATCCATGTAGAGCCATGGAGGAGTGAGGAAATGTGAATTAAAGTTTTTCTACCTCAGTCTCACAAGATTGCGATAAGATCAAAAAGATAATACTAAGTGGATTCCACCAATGCAACTTCTGCACCAATCCACAAGTGAACAGGTCAGCTCATCTATAATTTTTCGGCCTTACAATGAGCTCAAACAATTCCAAACAGCGCCAAATTTGTTGTCTTGCTAAAGTTCCTTATCAGAGTGCCTTCCCCATATAAATACCACTTAAAACATTGTAAAGTTAAATATGTACCAATAAACAATACTCAAGGGTGACCTTTTCTCGTTGACAGTTTACATTTTCTAAAGTCTTTTCCAAACTTTCGTATTTCAGCTCAGTAGTAAGCTTGGAAGTAAGTAGTCTTTAGCATAATATTCCGGAATTTTGACCTACTTAAGAACGTGTCCAAACTTATTCAGTGCAAATTTCGTAAACAAACTTCAACTCTAAGTTTACTTATGATAAACCCGAGAACTAATTGCTGACATACATCTCCATATTCTTCAGACCCACTTATAAGACTCATGGAGGAGTGTGAAAAGTTTTATCATATCTGTATATTCTTCAGATCTACTCCAAAGGTTAAGGTGGTTGGAGGAGTGTGAAAAGAATGACCTAACTTCGAGGCAATCACTTTCGAATAATTTCTGGATCTTCGGCTATATGCGGACAAATTAGATTAGTTTGCACCCTAAATAGTGACACCATAACTTCCATTGAACATTGCGAAGCAGATTGGCAAGGCGTCCACCCTTCAAAGCTTCACATTAAATTCAAAGAAATGGTAACCACATTGCAGTTACTTTTGCTTTCTATGTTCGGCACTACTCGGTAGGATAATGTAAGAACTTGTGTCTTTGCGAAAGCTAAGAAGCAAGCAAAAGAAGTTACGCGATCTTCAACGGTTAACTAAATTTGTTTTCTCAAGTGTGGTCTAAATTCTACAAATTCTCAAAATCATTTTGGCTTATTAGAAACCCATTTAAATATTATTGAACGAATATTGTTTTTGCCGTCGGTGTAATCACAGAATCTTATAACAAGAACAATTTGCTCGCCTTACGCACACATTAAACCGAAAAGCGCGATGACATGCCGACGGTAACAAAATTTGAAGAAGAAGACAATGAGTGAGACTTTTAAGAACACAAGAAAATCGCTTAAAAAGACTTGATAAAAGCAGCTTCCAGTGAGCAGAACGTCGGTGGACACAATGGAAAAAGGAAAAGTGAAATAAATAATAAAAATGTCGAGAAGATGCTTAGCAACATTTCACTTGGCAACCGAAGGAGAGTGTAAGGCGCAAAAGAAAGTTCATTGGAAGTGTTTGGATGCTCATTATATGTACATATGTATATACTCGTAGTTGGGTGCCTCTTTGGTGCGAGTAGGTGAAAATACTTATATACTTATAAGTATATGTATATATGAAATATATGAAAATAGAGTGTAATATTCAGTTCGATATATAAGTGCATGAAATAGGTGAGTATCAATGCTTCAGCTGAAATATCGGGTGATTTTTTAAGAGCTTGATAACTTTTT